CTTGGGAGGCTGAGGCAAGAAAATTGCTTAAGCCCAAGAGTTTGAGGTTGCTGTGAGCTGTGACACCAGGGCACTCTACTGAGGGTAATATAGTGAAACTATCTCAAAAAAAAAAAAAAAGTAATCATCTTTTGCTGTGAGGGGGACTAGTGAAGAGGCTACTGCAATGGTATAGGCACATGATGATGGTGGCATAGGTCAGGAGGGTAGCAGTGGAGATGGTGAGAAGCAGTTGCTGACAGCTTAAATGTAGGGGGTGAGAAAGGGAGGGTCAAAATGACTTCTGGGTTTCAGCCTGAGCAGCTGGGAAGACAGAGCTGGCATTACCTGAGATGGGGACATCATGGGGCAAAGTAGGATTAGGGGTGAAAGTCCAGACATGCATGGACATGCAGAGTCTGGCACTAGGTATGTGAGTGGGAATGCTGGGTGGGCAGCTGAACACGGGAGTCCAGAGCTCAGGGCAAGTGGCTGAATACAAGAGTCTGATCAGCTCTGGGCTCCTGCCCTGCATAGAACTGGCATGGCAGATGCCAGAGAGGAGGAAAGACAGTCTTGCCTTAGCCAGGGCCTGTGGTAGCCCCTCAACCCAGCCCCCATCAGAGCTCACCCAAACTCTGTGCTCCAATCCTGCCCCAAACCTCATTCAGGCTATTTGCCCCGCTGGGAATGCCCACTCTTCTGCCTCCTCCCCTATCCAAGCCACACAAGGCCTGTTCCATTGTCCTTGTCCTGAAAGCCCTCCACAATGGTTCCAGGGCCCTCCACTGAGCCCCAGAACTTTATACTCTGTAACACGCAGGGACTCAGGTTCTCAGGCTTCTGTAATCCTAGTCTGAGAGAAAGCCTAAGCTAGAAGGGACTGCCCAGTCCAACTCCTATTTTATTGAAGGGGACGCTAAGGTGCAGAGTACTATAATTGCGCGGTAAGTTGAGAACTCCAGGAAGTGTGTATGCCTGTGTGCACACTTCATAAACCCTCTGCTGCGTGTGTATTTGTGACACTCCATCCCTCCCCATAGCGCTAGGTTGTGTACACAGCTTCTGAGAGTGGCCCAGGGGAGTACAAGAGGGTTCTGGGGGGAGTGGTCGCTCCTTCCTTTCTTTGCTGTTACCTTATGGGGGTTGTCAAAGCTGTGGTGCTCAAGGAGATGGCTGTGACAATCCAGGTATTAAACCCTTAGTCTCCAGGGGGTTAGAATATTACTGTGTGAGAATCAGGAGTTTGAATCTGTGGAGGCTGAGAACAAGGACCTGGGAAAATGACGAGATGACAAGGTGAGTGAAGGAAGACAGGGATGGGGTGATGCTTCTACAAGCCAAGGAACCGCAAAGATTGACAGCAAAGCCCCAGAAGCTAGGGGAGAGGCATGGAGCACATTCTCCCTCAGAGGACTCAGAAGGAACCCTGCCATTACCTTGTTCTCGGACTTCTAACCTCCCAAACTGTGAGATGATAAATTTCTGTTGTTTCAGCCACCCAGTTGTGATACTTTTCACTACGGCAGCTTGAGCAAACTAATGCCAATCATGGTCAGTGAGTGGATGTTTCTACCACTCTGGCTTGGTCCACCTGGCTGGCCTGTGGTCACTTCTGAAGCTGCTTGGACACTCACCAGAGCTTGTAAGAATTCTCCTCCCCAAACACACCTGGAATGGCCTGATTCAGGGAAGCATCATTACATTCTCAGAAAGGGGGCCTAGATATGGCCTGTCTGGTAGTGGGGGGACTGGGAGGCCAGGCTGGGCAGCCAGCTTCCTGCATTGTCTGTTGGGGCGTCCCTTTCTGACTAGGTTTCTCAGAAGCTGCATGGAGGATGTTTCTGGGACGTACATTATGTTTTCATATCGGGGTCTACATCTGGGCCCTATTGTCACAGCCCCCGACTTCCCCAGATATTTCTGCCATTGACGTCATGGCGGCCGGATGCGCTGGGGCTTCATCGGCACCAAGGAGGAAGAGAGAAGGGGGCAGATACCCCACCTCACAGGTTTCGTTCCGAGAATCGTCTGGCCTGTCCTGCAGCCAGCTTAGCCCAGGTGGGGTGATGTGGGTGCTGGCGGATGTGGTGGGTGACATCCACCCGGCCACCATGACAAGCCATGGGCTTTGTAGACTTGGCCCTTCTTGGGCCATGGATAGGTCCCAGATTTGAAGCTCAAGGAGTGTCAGGCAGGCTCCACAGATTCTAGGACCCCTGGGGTCTTCAAACAGTATGATACCAGAACCTCAGAATCGTAGAACATCTTTTCTTATATTCGAAGGATCCCAGAATCTCAAAATCACAATCTCTGTGTGGTCCAACTTCTCAGTATGTGGAGGCCAATTTCCCTTGTATCCAAACTCCCTGGAACCACGTGAAGGGAGGACAGGCAGCTTACTACTTCATAGGGCCTCCTGCCCACTAAGCCTAAAATCAGACAAACCTCCTCTTAGCCTCCCTCCTGAATTCTGTAAAGGTAGAGGGTCAGAATAGCCATACTACTTCTTCCAGCCTGGGACAGGCTCAGCCATAACTGGCTTTAACTTTCCTTGGGCTCAAATGGAAATTGGGACAGTAATAGGACCCATCTGCCAAAGTTAATGGACATGAAATACTTCACAAAATGTCAGTGATTGGTAAATAAACACAGGGCCTCAGTCTCCCTATCCATTCTGGGATAATATTCCTAAATTCATAGTCACTCTACCAGAGATAGAGATGGAAGGAGGAAGATGAAGCTGGTATCCCTTCAGTTTGTGCCTCATGGTGGAAGTGGGAAAAGCTCCACTATTCTTGCCAGTACAGAGCCCACCACCAGGCTCTCTGAGGGGCAATCTAGGCTCCAGGTTCCTAGGGACAAGCATCAGCTCTGACAACATACAGCTTGACTAACACCCCTCCATCATCACCACCCTCTGGTAAACTAGGCTTCCTGACTCCATCAAGCCCAGCTCTTAGGAGGCTGGGCCCCATACTGTGATTGTGGATCTTCCTGCTCTAGTCAGGGTCCAACCTGTGAGAAGGCAGAAGGGATAATGGTGCCCAAGGTCCTCCTTCCCCTTTGTGGATGCTGAGGGGTAAACTAAGGCCCACAGTGGGGGAGAGAGAAAAAGCCAAGGTCCTACTGAGAGTCCTGAGATTTGGAATTGGGTTCCTCCTTCCCATCCTTGGGTTTAAATTTGCCCTTCTACAGTGGGGAGGGGAGAGGTATAGGGCAGATGAGGGCCAGAACTCTTCTGCTCTGTATCTGAGTGAGTCATTAGCTGTCTACAGGGCTTCAAGTTGACAAATGAACCTCTGTCAAGGGGGCTGGCTGAGAGACAGATACATAGAGACAAAGAGAGACAGCACCAGGGAGAGGGAGAGGAGAGACAGACTCAGGGAACAGAGAGACACAAATATTAAGAGATAGCAAGAGAGATGAACAGAGACATATAAGGTGGGACAGAAACACAGAGAATGAGCAACAGAGAATAAGAGTGTGAAAGACATTGAAAGAAATAGAGATAGAAAAGAAAAAGAGAGAAATGATTGCCTCAATAAGAACAGTTGCTCAGGTGGTGTGCCTGTGGCTCAGTGAGTAGGGTGCCGGCCCCATATACTGAGAATGGTGGGTTCAAACCCGGCCCGGCCAAACTGCAACAAAAAAATAGCCGGGCATTGTGGTGGGTGCCTGTAGTCCCAGCTACTCAGGAGGCTAAGGAAAGAGAATCACCTAAGCCCAGGAGTTGGAGGTTACTGTGAGCTGTGAGCTGTGAGCTGTGATGCCAAAGCACTCTACTGAGGGCGATAAAAAAAGAACAGTTGCTGGTCTCTGGCTGGAAGAACTGATGCTGCCTGAAATAACCAAGAATAAGGAAGGGTGAGGTGCTGGGGACCAAGGCTGGGTTGAATTGTATTGCAAAGTGACAATCAGCAAAACAGCATGGCCCAGGTACAAGAACAGATACTGAAGAAAAAAATATAGTAGAAAGCTTAGACACAGACCCTTGTAAAGAGGGAATCGAGTTTGTGGTGAATGGTATTTCAAGCAGGGTGATGGTGGAGGGGTGTATAACATGTTTCTGAGATAATAAGAAAATAAAATTACTGAATGAATAATCAGTCCGTTTCCCACCACCCCTCCCTACCCAGTTTGAAATAGTGTCATCATATACTCAAAAATACTCAGATCCATTAGAAAGATTAAATTAATATCTAATGTACATCTTGGGTTTATTGTGTGTCTGCTCCTATGCTAAACCATGGCAAATCATGGTCAATAAATTTAATCTTCATAAAGACCCTTTGAGATAGGTGCTATTATAACCATCACAGTACATGAGGAAATGGAGGTATGGAGAAGTTAAGTGCCTGGCTAAAAAAGCCTCACAGATAACTTTAGGTGAGGCTGAGTTTGTCCCAGACAGTCTGGCTCCAGTACCCACACTCTTAACCTCTATAGCCAATGGAAAAAATGAACGCTTAAAAGAGACTAGAAGCCAACATAGGTGAAAATTTATCTCATTTTCAAGTGGGAAAGGACTTTCTAAGCACAAAACCAGAGACAGAAACCACAGAAGAAAAGACTAACCTATTTGACTATATAAAAACATCATAAACATCACAAAAAAACCCATAAACAAATAGAAAAAGCAAATTATGAATTGAGGGAAAATATTTGCTATAAACATATGACTGATGGAAGGTTAATATCCTTTTTAATAAAGAGCTGTGGCAAGTTAATAAGAAAAGATGAACACCCTATTCAGATTAAAGATATGACTGGACAACCAAAAAAATAAAACCACAAATGGTCAATTAACAGTGGAAGTAATCACAGAATGCAAATTTCAATAATGCAGTAATATATTTTCTTTTTTTTTTTTTTGACACAGAGTCTCAAGCTGTTGCCCTAGGTAAAGTACTGTGGTGTCATAGCTCACAGCAACTTCCAACTCTTGTGCTCATGAGATCCTCTTGCCTTGGTTTTTCCATTTTTGGTAGGGACAGGCTCTCATTTTTTTGCTCAGCTTGGTCTTGAACTCATAAGCTCAAGCAATCCACCTGCCTCAGCCTCCCAGAGTGCTAGGATTACAGGTGTGAGCCACTGCACCCGGCTGGCCAGTAATGTATTTTCTAACCTATGTTAGGAAAGAATTAAAAAATGACAGCATCCACCCAGTGTTACCTTGAGTAGACAAAGCATAAAACAGGATAACCTTTTGGAAGAAAAATTTGAAGACAGGGTCAGAAACCTTAAAAATGCATTTCTTTTGCCCCAGCAACTCCATTTTAAGGAATCCAAGGAAGCAATCAGGGAAAAAAACTAGAAACAACCAGAATGTTCAACAAAAAGCACTTCATCAACTCTACCAGTTCACACTGATGTGTGGTCAGTCTTGACAACCATGAAAGATTATGTGTTCAAATAATTTTTAGTGAGTTTCAAAAATACTACTCTTAATCGAATAAAGAATAAAAAAACAATATATAGCATGACTCTAATTTGGTTAAAAAATACTAATAGCTAACACTTAGTAAGCATTTACTGTGTGCCAAGTGCTGTGCTAAGCCTGCAGAAACAAGCTCACACCACTCCTGAATGACCCGCTCTCTTCCTGAACATGGACTCTGGTCACACACATGCCATCCTGAGGTAAGAACACACAGCTAAACCATGGTTGATAATGGTGTGAAGTGCTCCCTTACCCCAGGAAGGTTTCCTTTCACTCAAAACAAGCACAGTTCAGTTAAGAGCTCAGCCTGACTCACAATTCTACTGTCGGGGCAAACAACTGATGCTCATTCTTGTAAAATGTAAATGTCCTCAGCAATGTTACTCAGCATATTAATATTAAGCATCAGCTATGTACAAAGTTCCTTGCTAAGTCCGGGTGGGAAGGCAGGTAGAGAAGGTCAGACAAGAGAGCAGAAAAGATGGTGGGAGACAAATGGAGAGAAGGAGATGGATGGAATGTGGTCAAGATGGAGGAGACGGAGACGGAAGACATGGTCAGAGCCCCAGAAAGACGGAGAGACAGAGTCTGAATGCCACAGAACCAGATAGATGGTGAGAGAAAGTGGCAGAGAAACATGAAAAGAGCAAGATACAGTGATCCGAGAGAAGACAAAGAGGGACAGTTGAAATTTCCAGTTACACCTGGACAGTGTTTCAAGTTGTTCAAAGCTTTGAAATCCATAAAGACTGGCAGATGACTTATTTTAAAAATCTTACCCATCTATGTATCAGTTGATCAATTTATTTATCTTTGTTCCTGTCTAAGCACTGATTACGTATTTAACCTATCAGTCTTCTGGCATTTCTTATGAATATTATTATTTTTAAAAAGATCTTACCTGGCCGGAACCACAGTAGCTGGGTGTGTCCGACTGTACCAGAGGGCCCTTGACCTCCCGTGCTACCTGCCTGCCATCTCCTCTATCGCAGCCCACATCTGGTGGGGGAGAGCAGGGACACTCACCTTGGTGAAGTGGACTGACAGAAAAGGATCAGCCTGGCTTGTGGGAAACTGTCACGTATCAAAAACAACTTTGCTTTTATACCGAGAAGAAAAACCACGGCGTGGAAGCCACAGACCTCTCTCTTCTAATAATCCAATTTTTTTTCATGAGTGTATACACTGATAATCACGGAGGGGGGTTCTTATAGTTTTTTTTTCTCTCTCTCTCTCACTTTGTTTCTCTACTTCTTGATTATGAGACTTAAACGGAAATTTTGAAATTTTGGGTTTTTTCTTTGCCCTTTACGAGTCATCTGAAAATATGATTTCTTCCCCTTACCACAGAGGTGAGAGGTATCAATGAGATAACAGGGCTCATGAGAAACCACAGTTTTTAAAACAAAAGTGTGTAGAGTCAGAAAAAAAAAGCAACAAGGGAAAAGAACTCAAATAAATCACAGGGACATACTGGGGCAGGCAGAGACACCATTCTGTGAGGGAAAGGATATCTGAGGATCTCTGGGGGAAAGAATGACAATCTGAAGCCCCTTGTAGGGTTGGGAAATGCCAGGGAAAGAGATGAAATAGGTCTGGCCTTCCAGCTTTGCTGTGCTCTAGGCCTCAGTTTCCCCTTAGGTAGAACTGACGTGGTCTCTACCACTTGAACTGCCCAAACGGTGAGCTCTGGACACCCTGCAATCTGCCTTCCCACAGAGGGTGAGGGGCACACAAGTTACTTCACAAAGAAGAAAGCAGGGAGTCCACCCTTACTCAAGGAGTTGGAGAATCATTGGCTCCCAGAATCTACTGATGGCCATTGAATAAAGAAAGGTATAAAAGTCTCCCTTCCTGATGTTTTAGGGCTTGAATGCTCTGCCCCGGCCACTACCCTACTGAGAAGGTCCCAAGTAGGCCTCCATTTTTACAAAGAAGTCCAGAGGCCCCTTAGGACCCTGACTCTCTCATGTCAGGAACACCAAAGCCTGATGCTTCTGAGGACCCCACTCTTTGAGATTTTCTACTTTGAAAAGCCCCAGTTTCTAAGGATTTAGGATTCCAAATATCTGCCATCACTCCAGTAGGTGACATTTATCTTGAATTTCCCATGTGTCAGACACAGTGCTGAATGCTTCTCATAAATGATCATGTCCTGGCTCAGCACCTGTGGTTCAAGTGGCTATGCTGCCAGCCACGTACACTCAAGATGGCGAGTTCGAATCCAGCCTGGGCCTGCCAAACAACAATGACAGCTGCAACCAAAAAATAGCCGGGCGTTGTGGCGGGCACCTGTGGTCCCAGCTACTTG